ACATTCGTTTATTATTTGCTGCAGACGTTTCCATACTTCACATCATTGAAACTGCAAAGCTACAGAGACCTAGAATTGTTTCCTCGGCGCACACCAGTCGTATGCATGCCGCCTCGCGCTAGACGCTAGACCTCTTCCTGCTCCACGTGGTCACACTCGCTGCACAGCACCTCGACCCCGGGCAGCACCTCCAGCACCTCGGCGCGCTGCTGTCTGCAGGCGGCTGGCTCGTGGCTGCACCTCGTGTACCTCCGCAGCACGAGCCTCCTGAGCGCCCGCAGCCCGCCGCTCTGCTGCAGCAGCGAGTGCAGGTCGTCGCAGCTGTCTGGCCACCCTGGGAACTTGCAGCTCCCCGCCGTGCCCACCCACAGCTCCAGCTCCCCCAGCGTGGCGCCGTGCGCCTGCAGCAGGGACAGCGTCGTGGCGCGGGGGAGGACCCCCATGCTGAGCCACTGCAGGCCGGCGTGTCCCGGCGGCAGCGCGGACACCTGCACGGGGGGCTGCGCGTCCAGGAGGTCCAAGTTACCCGACACGTCCAGCCTCCTCAGCCGCGGCATGGCGTCGTGCACCGCGAGCAGGTGGTCCTCGCAGATGTAGACCGCACGTAGCCGCTCCACGGTGGGCGCGGCGCGCTGCAGCAGCTGCAGGCTCCAGGCGGGGTCCTTGTGGCACCACACATTGACCAGCCGGGTCACCTGCGGCGGAACAGAGTCACACTCAGGCCCCGGCTGCAGCAAGGTTGCTCTCTGAGCCGGCCGCGGCCTCCCTACTCACCCCTGGCGCTTCTGCAAGCAGGGCCGCCTTTTCCCCCCGCCGTGCGTTGGGCCAGGTCTTGCTGACGACGCCCACGTCCATCTCTCGCTCCATCTGGTATGGGCTCCTCGGGACAGGGATGGTGGCACTGCTGGTCGCGCTGTCGCTGACTGGGCTTATACCTCTACGACTGCCAGCGATACTAGATATCAAGTGGACGGCGCACCGAAGGGAACGCCCCAGCAGTTATTCCCCGCGTCTTGGACACCTCTGCTTCTCCCTCTGACGTGGCTGCTGCCCTCTTGTTCCCGTCTGCTGCCCTGTTAAAAGCTTACAGTGAATTTCACTGTAAGCTACGGTACTGCAGGGGTTCACCGTAGATTACAGTGAAATTCACTGTAATCTTTTAAGAGTGTGCGGGGATTGCATTTCGCGACTCGGTTCGCGGCCCGGCCCAGCGGGTCCCCGCATTCATCAAGCTGGGGGGACGTCCAGTTGCGCCCTTCCCCTTCCCGGTCCTTCCGCCCGCCCGCCAGCTCGCATTCTTTTTATATT